AGAATAATGCTGATCTCATGATGATTTGCTGTGATATGTTGGTGATTGCTGTCATTTCTCTGTTTTTATTTGGAATATTGGATTCTCTGTTATTGTTGCTGGATTTTGATAGCTAGTTTTTACTCTTATCTTATGATGACAAAAAGGGGGAGAAATGGATGCTATATGTTAGGGGGAGTTATTCTGAGATTATAAGTTTGGATGCAATGAGTGAGGGGGTGCTTATGCTCATTTGCTCAATCTTTTTCCTTTTTCCATCCATTGTTTTGTCATCATCAAAAAGGGGGAGAATGTTGACCTTGGTCCCTAACTTTTGATGTTTACAAAACAATGGATAATACTAATATTTTTTCAAGATATACTTTCAATTATGAAGTTATTTGATTCCATGAACAAGTGCAATTGAAAGAAGACAAAGGTTGCTGAAAGCTGTCGGATGCTTGTGATGACAGTACCGGACGTCCGATAATTATTGCACAACTTCGGACGCATGTTTCGGACGTCCGATAGGATCCTTCGAAGTCGACGAAACCATCGGACGCTGAATATGTCTCCACCGGACGTCCAATAGAAACAAGATGATTTCTCAAATCTCTTTGTTTGCTGTCGGACGCACAAAGAGCTTGCACCGGACGTCCGATAGAATTGAAGAAAATTTCTCAAACTCACTGTCTGCTGTCGGACGTAAAAAACAGGAGTACCGGACGTCCGATACTCAAACGGCTAGTTGACTCTTCAGCTACTTTCTATTCGTTAGAAACATTAATGAGACACTTTCTTGGTCCTATATAAATAGTGGTTGGTCAGATACATCAAACAACTTTTGCACACTGAAGATACAAAAGATCTAGAGTGATTTTAGTGAGAAAATACTCTTCAAGAAAGATTTGTAGTCTTAGTGGTGTGAGATTCATTGTAAACTTTTCATTTGTGAGTGAATACTTCATGAGTGTAGCTCTGTGAGGGTTGTCCTGAGGGATAGTAAAACTTCCTGGCTCGACCGAGTGGTGTTCGGGGCAAGGAGGAGGTGAACCTTTCTTTGTACGTAAGAGTGATTGTAATTCATCAACTTGAAGAAGTTTATTTGAATTAATCTACAAGCTCAAGAGGAGTTAGGTAGTTAATTGGTTTGCAATTCTTTCCTTTCTATTTACTTATTGTTACGTTTGTGATCTGTACATTATTTATTTCTTCCACTTGGTTGTCTTCGATCCTTACAGCCTTTCCACGTGAAATTTGGTAGAGATATATTTCACATATGGAAGATTTAGTGTACCAAATTTGGTGTATTTTCAATGCCAACTCAATGACCAAATAATGCCCCAAATCTGCTCTTCAAATCTGAAAAATTGGCCAACATTTTTCATTTTTAACCAACTTTGAGCTGCTATATCTTGACTCTCAAAACTCCGATTTTAGTTATGTTTCTTGTGTTTTAAACTCTGATTGTACCTTCAATTGAGTTCCAAATTTCAGAGATTAGTTCACATTATGTGAATTTTGCCGAATTTTCAAACTTTGTCAAAAATCAACTCAAATCTGTCTTGGTATTCCAAGATAACATCTTGGACCCAAAATTTGAATGTCTTCCAATTGCAATCATGGAAAAGTGTCTTCTAGGAACTTTTAGTACTTTGGAAGTAGTTTCCAACGGTACCAAGTTTTCCAATTTTGAACCTACGGAGTGCAAGATATGATTTTTCTAAGTTTGACACATAAAGATAAAATTTGCCAATTTCTAAGAAAATGAAAATTTGGAAACTTGACTTCTTTTCTCGATATCGACTGAACGTTTTGAACTCGAATTCATGGAAATACTAGTCTCTCTCTTTGGACTTTAAAACTTCACTCGTGAACCTCAAGTTAAGAGAATTGAAGCTTTCTTTTAGGACTTTGATTTTGTCTAAATGAGTGTACATTCCTTCTTGGTAAATGCATGATTGTGAGTGAAGTTGATTATTGTTTGCTCAGGCGCTCAAGGGGACCTTCAAGAGGAACTCGGAGCGGACGCCTAAACACTTGTTTGAGCACTTACTCACTTGTTTTGACTAGGTGAGTGTTCCATATAGGAGTACGTAATTTGAATAAGTCTATGACATGCTTATTCCATGATCATTAAGTGTTAAGTGCTATATGTTAAGTATTTACCACACTCATGCATATTTAAGTAAGGTATACTTGAATTACTCGACATGAAATACTTGAATTGCATATTTACGTGAAGTGTTTAAATGATTAATTATGCTATGGCTACATAAGTCGGTTGGAGTGAATCTCCTCGACTCTTAAGTGATAAAAGTGGGAAATGACCAATGGCGGCCTATTAAAATGGCAAATATCTGCCAATTAACCGTAATTACTTACCGTTAACCGTTAATTGTAATTACTTGCCGTTTACCAACCTACTTGATTACCTACCTACGTGATTACCTACTTACTTGATTACCTGTTTACCTGATTACTTGACTATTTGATTATGTGATTACCGTAAATTACGTGTTCACATGAACTTTTCCAAAATTTTACGGCGAGTGTGTACTTTATCTCACTCGACCTACAAAATTGATAAATTTTTACCATTTACCGTTTTACGTGATTACTTGTGCATGTTGTAAGTTCTAAGTTGAACTGGGTCCTGCCCTTGGTTACTGACCTACTCGAGGCAGGACTGGGCTCGGTCGGGTAGGTTGGAATTTTGGGACACCGTTTCGGTATACTCGAGTACTACCACTGGAGGGGTAAGGTGATGGCCAGACAAATCGAGAGGTTCTGAAGTTATAAGGTGCAGTTGACCGAAATGGTTCCACTGGAACACCGTATCCTTCAATGTGTGTTTATTTTGCATAATGATAACTGTTTCATGCTAATGTGCCAACGTGCAACCCATGAGCCATACCTGTCATATACTCAAATTACTCGTAACACGATAACTGTCTCATGTTAATGTGTCAATGTGCAACCGTGAACCATATATGTGTCATGCCTAACTTGTTTGATTTATTAGAACTGTTAGAGTGTCTTGGAACCTCACTGGGTTGTGTAGCTCATTCCACGTTTTTGTTTTCCTTAACAGGGTTCGAGACCAAGAGTGCTCGTGAATAGTACTAGATTGTTTTCATTTGAGGACTTTAAGTTGTATTATAACTGATGGCTATAGTACATATTCCGTTGGATTATATTTAAGCTTGAAAGCTAACTAATTGTATGTGTGAGATATTTTGGAGTACTTTAATTATGTATTGAAGTTATTTGAAGCATTCCGAACTTTTGAATTGTGGATTGTAGTGAGTCCTGGCGAGAGTTGGGCAGACGTCCCGCGGATACCCTTTGGTTCGCCTTAGGGAGAAGTGGGGGTGTCACACAAGGTGGTCTCCTGACTTTGTATCATTTTAAGAAGTTTGTAAAAATTCAATTGTTTGACACACGAGTAAGCATTTCAAGATATATGATATCATAATTTATGTGAACTATAAAAATTCCACTGGAGAGGGAAAATATTAACAAAACATTCTCTTGCATTTTTGGACTCATAAAAAAACCCCTTTAAAAAAATGAAAAAAGAGAATATAACTCAATCATTATTAGCACCCAAATTAACACACTCTTATATGAGTCAATCTAATGTGAGAAAATACTAATTAACTCAATAATAGATAGATATATATTATTAATTTACCTTAATATACCTCGTTGCCCACTACTCTCCCCGTCCCCCGCCCCCCTCCTTGCTGCCCACTACCTTAATAAAAATTTATCATATAATTTTATTGTAATCAAATTTTAGCAAATAAGTAAGTATTAAAATATCAACACATCACCAAGTCATTATCGATTGTAATTTCACTATTGAAAATCATAAAAACAATCAAACAAAAACTATTTAAATACAATTCAACATGATGAAACAAATACAACTAAAGTAGTCAAATTTTGAATAAAGTTGGTTTTTTTAAAAATAAAAATAAACAAAAGTAGCCAAGTTTGCACTTTTGTAATAAATACAGCCACTAAATCATTATCGTATTTTTTTTTTGAAAAAAATTTATTATTGTGTTAAGTGTAATTAGGAATTCAGTATAAATATATTAGTAAATTTAGTATAACTAACTAATAATTTCTATTAGTAAACATATATAATTATTAGTATAATTGATAATATCAATTATATTATATATACTAATATACATTATATAATACTTATAACTAATAATATCATTATTATAAATTTATAAATAATTAAAATAAATATTATATATATACATATAAATATATATAGAGCAGTGGCGGGGCAGAGGTATATTCCCCGTTTCTTAACCGGGGAGGGGAGGGGGAGGGATTCTTCCTCACCTCGCCCCATTAGCCCCCTGCGGGACGAGTGCTCCCAATCGGCAACATGAATACTTGCCATACTAGGAGTCCACGTGGTAATAAGTAAATTAACAAAAAAATAAAATTTGAAAGTGCCATTAGCCCCCTGCGGGATGGGTGCTCCCAATTGCCATCCCTAGTCATAAAGAAAGAATATAAGATGGCAACATGAATACTTGCCATACTAGGAGTCCACGCGGTAATAAGTAAATTAATAAAAAAATTAAAATTTGAAAGTGCATTAATTTGGAAATAATTTTGAAGAAAAATATTATTGTGGAATTAAACTCAAAATTTATCGCCCTCAATCCCTCATGCTTTATATATAAACAAATATGATCAAATTTATAAGAGTTAATCTTATAAACGTTGATGGTACATATACTATAACCGTTAAATACATAACACATATATAAAATTTAAAATTTAAATTAATTATCATATATCCATTGATAGCGTATACACTCTAAATTAATCCAATTTATATTATAATATTCATAATTTTTTTTTTTTGCAAAATCTATTTCACCATATTCTCACCCCTCATCATACATCGCCATATTCTCACGTCACGGTCATACGTCACCCCGACTCGCGAAGTACTATCATTTGTGCCGTACTAATGAGCCTCCCGAAGAGTCGCTTTCACCCAAAAAAAAAAAAAAATCGTGGATAGAGTCCCCTCTCTCATTTACTACTGCAAGACAAGTGTCTCCTCGCCTAAAAATCGCAAAACCCTAACTCTAGTCTTTCAAACTCTCTAATGTGGAACTATATTCAAATTTTTCATCAATCTGGGCAAACAAGTTTGAGCCATGGCTTCCACCGAACCACTTGAAGGTATAATTCTTAAACCTAGTTTCTTATGTATCCTATTTTGTTTTTTCTTGGATCCATCGTTGTGTAGTTTGGTGAAATGCTGCATATTTTTCAATGTTGATTTTTGGAAATTTTGTTTCGTATATTTGATCTTAGGGTTAGAATTGTAACCATTGGAGATGAGTTTATGCTATTTAGCAATGGAATGGCTGTTCGATCTCGAGCTTCATAGTGGAGCTCTGTCTTGGGAGCTTTGGGGAAATGCATAGAATTCAAAGGCCCCTATGGATGGAGCCGTTTTTTTTTTTTTTTTAAAGAAAATTTGAAATATATTTTCTGACCACTTTTTTTACAGGATTACGTTTTATCTGGAAAACTGCTATGGTAATGTTTTTCTACAAGCACCCCTGAAAACAACCATGCATATGGATAGCTTGATGATTGGCAACTAATAGACATTTAGCGGTTTGGCATTTAAGAATTCCGCTTTTACAATACCTAGAAATATAAAATTTACATTTGGTTCGGGATGAGCTGAAGAACATGATTGAAGGAAGTTCTGAGTGATGAAAAAATAAGAAGTCGGATAATGTTATTAGAATGTGTAACAAATGTGGTAAATCTGCACCAAAGAAAAACTCTGCAATGGTTGACAATTTAAAAGCAGTATTCCTGTTCTGTCAAACAAGTTGCCGTCAGATGTGGATGTTAGTGCAACTATTAGCTTGAGATTTTAATTATTGATGTGTTTGAAATTGTGATAATCAGAGTCCATTATTGGGATTTCTTTCTGGCGAAATTGCTGAGACTTTAAAACTACCCTTTCTCAATTTCTTGTTCTGCACTAGGACGACATACTGGGTGTGGAATAGTGCAATGGTATCAGCCAGTTGCATTGGATGATCGTGTTTCTAAGGAACTGAATGTCGATCCTGTATTTGAGAATGTTCCACGTAGCTGCAGATCAAGGCGGAGAACTATTGGCAAGGAAACAATTAAAGTTGCAGAATCTGGTATAGGCATTTCTCTTCAAAGGGTTAGAACTTCAAAAATTTTATCTGCTAAGTTTGATAATCTGGTTTTGTTTCCTTATAAACTGCTCTTTCTTATTCTTCTATTTTCCCTTTCCTTTATGTTCCTGTTGGGAGGAGGGGGATATTCTTAATCTTAGTGTGGATATTCTTAATCTTAGTGTGGCTATTGATCTATTTGTAACGCTTGCATGTGTTTCTGCCTTCCTCCATAGTGTAAGAAGTACATTGAAGCAATTTAATGCAGAGGAAAAGAAACTTTTGGATGTAATGGCATATATAAGATGCAAAAGCCAAAGTAGCAGATGTAATACTTGTTGAAAGAAGAAAAGAGTAATGCATGAGAGAAAGAACTACATAGTACTGAAGTACTTTAAATTCTGTGAGAACTATATGTTGGAGTTTGTTTAAGTAGTATCTTTTAAGCATTTGAAAGATCAAAAGGCATGAATAGTTGCCTGCTTCTCCTTTTCTTTTATAGACAAGTTCGGTCAATTGGTAATGTCTTCCTTGGTTTTGACAGTAACTATAGATCATCAAAAATTTCTTACTGACAATATCATTTTGTTCAATCAACTCCACGTTTTCAGAATGGGTAACCTGAAACTCATATAAATTTTGTCATCTCAGGAAATCATGAAAATGAAGGGCACCTAGGTGGAAACCTTTTAAATAAAAGGCAACGTACACGTAGGAAAAGGACAAGGAGAGCTTTAGCTGATTCAAGTGATTCGGAAGTTATTATCCCACACATCCGACTTCGTGGGCGACAAAGGGGAACAGTGGATTACAGTAACTTAACCACCAAGTACAGGAAGTTAGACTCAAAAACTTTTGAGGGCTACTTGGAGTAAGTGCTAGAAAGTCATGTTTTTTACATTAAGACTTCCTCTCTGGTCAACATTGTTCATGGAGTACTAAAATTATGCAGAGACATATGGAGCAGGATTTCTGAAGAGCAGAGGAACTCATTTGTATATCTGGATAGTCTGTGGTTTTCCTTGTACATGCAGTCCCCTTTCAAAGAAAAGGTGTTGAATTGGGTTAAAAGGAAGAACATATTCTCAAAAAAATACATCATGGTTCCCATTGTAATGTGGTATGTCATTTGTTTAAAGTGTTAATTAGGCTACATGGTTCACACCACTCTATGGGTTTTTTTTAATTTAGATCCTGATTTTTAGGTCTCACTGGAGCCTCTTGATCTTGTGCAACTTCGGCCAAAGCGAGCAATCACAAACTATAACTCCCTGCATGTTGTTGTTGGACTCACTTCAAACAACGGATCCTAGGAGGCTTGAACCTGGAATAAGAAAGTGTGCTCTTCAGCAAACTAACTAGTTATCACTATCTCCAAACATATAGGTGAAAATCAGTGTATCTTATATGTATTTCTTATAAACGTTCCTCTTAACAGGTTTGTCTTAGACATACATAATGTTGAGGAGAGGCCTAGGAACAAGCTTTTGCTTAACAAAATTCCATTTCTGATTCCTCAGGCAAGTTTTTAAATTTTTTTTTTTGTTTTGGTATTGAGTAGTTCCTTTATCGATTAAGCTGAAAACAAAACTACTCCAGGTTCCACAGCAGAGAAATGGTGAAGAATGTGGATGCTATGTCCTTCAATATATCAGCTTGTTTATTGAGAATGCTCCTGAAAATTTTAGCATTTCTGATGGGTACCCTTACTTTGTGAGTCTTTCTGCTATCTTTGGCCTTGTGAGCCAAATAACAAGTGCTTCAGTTGATTTTCATCTAATCCTTTGCTTTCAGTGTAGCATGTCTTCATACTGATGGATTGTTCCTCTCGTTATGCATCATAGATGAAAGAAGACTGGTTCGCTCTTGAAGGATTGGATAACTTCTGCAAAACACTAGAACTAAATTCGGCTAGCAGGAATTCTTCTATTCTGGAAGAATAGATTGCGATGGTGCTTGGCTGCCTGTATCTTGCAGTTCTGAATATAAACGATAACTGCCTGTAAAGTTATAAAAAGGGGGGAATAAAAAGGCCTAGATGGGTGTTCACTGAAAATGGTTTGAGGGCCTGTTTCGAGTCTTGATTGATTTAGAGGCTTGTATATATATTAGTTGACTTGTGCATCCTAGAAATCATTCTCGAAATTGTTACTTTAGTACCCTTTTTTGAACGTCAAACAGGTAGTTATATTGCATTGCACCCCCAAATAGTGTATTGCTAAAATTAAGCTTTATGCCTTTTGGCTGAGACTTCATGTTGCCTTTCACCTTTTGTTGGGTGGGAATATGTTTGAGTGATTTCATGTTACGTGTCCAACTTGACACAAACTGTCATGTAAATATCAATTTTTACTTGCGAGTCTGCGATCATTGTATGTAAAGGTTGTACTTGATCTGTTCATCTGGAGTCCAAATCTTAACGTAGGTGCTTGGTAAATGGGTATCCAGCCCAGGAATAGGCGTGCGTGAGATGATACCCAAAATTTATGTTTGTTTAAAGCGCACAGGAATGATAACCTCTGCTACAGAATTTTTTTTTATTCCCCCCATTTTTGGTGTTTATCAAACTGTATTACCGACTTACCTCCTAATAAATTATCCATAAAACAATTAGAAATACAAATAATTTACCATAATCTCAAATTCCCTACCCTATCTTCTCCTCCCCGAATATGATCTCATGATCTCATTTACTCTTCCCCCCCTCCCCCCAGCCCCAGCCCCACCCCCCAACCCCACACCCAACAAAAAAGTCCCCACCAACCATGGTTTCCCCAATTCATGTCCACCTCTCCCTCCTCTCCCCTCGCATGAACTCATGAACTCTCTTTTCCTCCATTGTGGCTATCTTGTTCATGTTTTGCAATAGTAGTTATAGTGACGCAAGTTGTGGCGGTGATTTTGATATTTTGTTGCAAAATTGTCCATCAATGTGGAGCTCCGAGGGCTGAGTAGCTATTTTGATACTTTGCTGCAAAATGTACATAGATGTAGAGCTCCTAGGTCTGAATTTATAGTGTGCCACTAAAAGTCCGAATATGGAGTCCATTTATTGGTTGAAATAGGGGCGGAGCAGGATTTTGTCGTAAATTGGTTGCGTTTTATTGATTTTGTTGTTCGAAGCAATATAGGTGCTTAAATCTTAGTGCTTTTTGTAGTTGTTTGACATTTATCATGGCAGAGTGGTGGTAGTGGGAGGTGGGCCGGGGGGATGTAATTCGTGGGTGTTGCTAAAGAAGAAAGGAAGGGAAGGGAAGGAAAATAGAGGGAAAAGGAAAGAAAGGAGAAAAAGGAAAATAAGTTAGACAAAGAAAAGAAAAAGGAAAAGAGGAGGGAAAAAAATGATAACCGACCTCATTCCTAAATAATTTTGACCAAACATTCTATTGGTTTACATCAAAATTCAGTATCATTAACTAGTTTATCACACCCATAGTGATAGTGATTATTGAATTCTACCCAAACGGCTCCGGGCTCCCAATAGAGAAAATGCACCTTTGAAATTGAGTGATTAAATGTCAATTTTGGTCCAAATCATGCAATTAAATGTCGATTATCCCTAATTCAAATCGAAATTTAAAGCACAAAATGTGTTTCTGTTGAAACAATCGTTACGAAATTGGTTCAATCCCAAATAATGAAGATAAAAAGTGTATATTTCCCTAAGTTTTACTACCTAATTACACACAATTTTTCCTATATATATATATATATATATATATATATAGAGTCGAAGAAACCTAGTGCACTCGTCCAGTTTGAAACGTACTTGTTTTCAAGAGAGTATTGCACAAGTTACTAAGGCCTGCAGTCCAATATTTCTAGGTAACGTGCCAATAATACTAGTATGTTAAACATCCTGTTGCTCTCTATCTCGTGCATGGTTGGGGTTGGAAGGAGAAGGCGCCCTCACTAATGTAGATTCAGGTTATTTTCTTACTCCTTCACCATTAGCAGTTGTTGTCTTAAAGCATGAAGGTAACCATTTTTTTTTTTGCCCCCTCAGGTAAGAGTGCAAGCCACCTATAGTATATAAAAAAAAAAAAAATCCAAGCAGGCTTGAACAGAAATACTAATTTAGGAAAAGTAGACTAATTATCAGTTTGTCTAATAATTAGCTGGTGCATGTGATGCTAGCACAAATAGGAACTATGTCCCCATGTTGAACACAAATTCAGGGCAGGTATGGCTGGCTGAGGGCCTCTTGTTGAGGCTTGTGAGGCTTATAAGAGGGCTTATGACAGGGCGTCTCATGACCGTTTCTGTCCCAAATTTTGTTGAACAATGTACTGATCAGACGCAGGTGGATCACTTTTATGGGCCTGGATTGATAGTTGGAATTGTGGAATGAAGGTATTCTTCTTTTGCAGACCAAAGAGGAATTCTTGCAGTTTGCCTTTCCAATATTTCAATTTCAGCAAACATCATTAACTTGTTCTATATAGAGATGTTAAGCATAATTAGTGGATTTCTTTTCCTTTTTCCCACATTGTTTTTCAATTTTTCGGCATCCAAATGCAGGACGATTGCAAGAACACTCCATATATTCACTGGTTAACAAAATTGCATCTCAAAATCAGTTATGAAAATAGAGATGAAGAAAAAGTGGGGGCTTGACTCCACCAAAATCTCCGTATCTACATATAAAATTATAGTTTTACCCTCACACTTAAATAAAATTATCTCCACTATCTTTCAACAAAATTTAAGTATTAGAGAATTGCCCTGCCAAAATCTCTACATATGCATATAAAATTATAGGTTTGCCCCATATTAAATGAAATTACCCTCGCTACTTTTCAACAAAACCTAAAGTACTAATGTACGCTTTGTTTATACGTCTCTATATAATTTAACAGCCCTTAAAATAAATGACACCATATTGTCTAAATAAAGAAAGACTCATTTGCATCTATTCTTCTTCTTTTATCTATTCTAATGTGCACCCAATATACCATTTGAAATTTTTTTTAACATTTTTTACTACACATTGAAATTCACAAACATTGCTCGTTTTTTTTATTTCATCTTAACATAAATCTAGAGAAAATTTATTAGAGTTGTGAGGGGAGAAGTGGAAGAATCCTTTACTAGGAATTTGAGATTTGAGATATATTTATTTTGTTGCTAAATTGTAGATTAATTATATACACAACTTTTGACGTACATCGACAGTTAAAAATTAATTAGTAAAATTTGATATATTAACGTTGCTCCCACTACATTTTCTGTCTAGCTCCACCTCTGTGATGAAACGATTACTATTTAATGGACTTCACAAAACAACTGAAAATATTCTGTCTCAAACAAAGAAAGAAATGATAGATTAAAAAAAAAGAAAAGAAAAGAAAAATGCATATGCTTTCTATCGCCTCGGGGCTAGGACTCGTAACCCGCCCCCCAAAAAAAAAACCAACACCCCATAGCAACTTTCCTCCATAGCTATGTAGAGTAATTGCAATACCAGATGAAGATTTTATAAACCTTGCTAGAAGAGATCCCTTTATTCCTTATTAATAACATTTGTAAGTTTTCAACTACATCTTCAGCTGCCTTGGGATCCATATACATCTATGAATATTCTATTCTCTGTAGATCATATCCATTGGAGCCTTGCTTTGGATCTGTGATCACTAGTCTTGTTGCTTGTTTTTTGGGATTGCGGAATCTTCAGGATATCAAACGAACATCATACGTTTACAACCTAAAATGAGCAACAGCGCCCTCAAAATTGATGTTGTTAACACAAAGGGTTAAAACAATAATTGTATTAATAAAAATAATCAAGATAATGCAGCAAATCCTCCCCCCTCCCCCCCTCATCACGTGCTTGAACTCATTGAAATTTACCATACCATCTCCATCAACATCCATTTGATTGATTTATTAGGCCTAGATGGGGGTTTACTTTAAAAAAAATTGGTTAGAAGGCCTGTTTTGTGACTTGATGGATTTAGAGGCTTATATATAGATTAGCTAACTTGTGCATGCTAGAAATCATTCTTGAATTTGTGTTGCACCCCCAAATAGTGCATGCCAAAGTTAAGCTTAATCTCTTTCAGATAAGACATCATGTTGCCTTTCAGCTTTTGTGGTGTGGGGATTATGTTGGTTATATCATGGTGTATCCCACTTATGTAACACAGAACTGTTTTCCAGTATCTTGACTTCTCCTCAAGGTTGCACTTGATCTCTTTTTTTTTGGGCTTTTTTTTTTGGGTCCAAACGGCCTTAAGTTTTTCTCTACAATTACACATAGTTTTTCCAAGGGTTAATCATACTTTGACACCTCCCCCCTTCCAGCTTTAGGTGTAGTCACACTTTGGCACTCTCAATATTGAAAATATACTCTTTGACCCCCATGCAGATTGGTAAAATGTTAGAAAAGTTAACATCATTTTAAAAATGACTATAGTGATTCTATTGCCTTGCTATTATTGTTGAACACACAACTCCAGATACTGTAGTAATTCAACATTATGATAATAATTAATCATCTAAAACTCTTATGTGCTTTAAGATTGGTCAAACTTGAGATAGAAAAAGTATTATCCTTTTTAATATAATCAATTATCTCAATAATGGATAAAAAATAATAATTTCCATATTGATTTGTATTGCTATTTGCCCGAAAGAATATTTTGTTATTGTTAGATATGCTACCATAAAAAGTATACTTTTTACTATGGAGCAAGTATTTTATTTATAATAAAACATATCCACATCAATTTGATATGATCAAAACAATATAATCATCAGTTTTTGGAGATGTTTCATTTACCATCACGCTTTGACTTACAAATCTTGACAATGTGCTTTGGGGGGAAAAAGTTTGAAGCATGGTCCAAGAAGAATAAATTTGACACCAAATCTGTTAAATTGTTTGCATACCTCATTTATTTTTTATTCTTTGAGATCAAAGATCATGAGGTTAATACCTATAATTTAAAAGGCACATCAAAACAATTAAGATTATATATAATGTACTGTTCAAAAAATAATAATAGAGGACACTCGCTCCATTTAAAACACATAAATTCTAAAAATAAATTTTACATAAATTTGAATTTATTGAAAAACTTTATGAAAACTTTTTTCAATAATTTATGGGATTTTGTCAAAAAGTATTTTGTATCTAGGCATATGTGGTTTGTATTATAAATTATAGGTTAATCTTATAATCATTGATAGATACTTAAATTGTAGTATAAATTGTAAACAAAAAAACAATTGTTGTGTATTTTTGTTACAAATTGCCTATTCTTAATTTGGATATAATACAACTTAAAGTCTGAAAATATACAGAAGCATGGTCCAAGAAGAATAAATTTGACACCAAATCTATTAAATTGTTTGCATACCTCATTTATTTTTTATTCTT